TCCACTCTCAGCCCCTAGTGATCACCGATCTGATTTCTGTTCTTGTAGTTTTGCCCATTTTAGAATGTAAATAAAACTGTAGTAGGCACTCTTGTGTCTGGACTCTTTTGCTCAATATAGTATGATTCATCACTGTTCTTGATTGAATCAGTAGTTCTGTCCTTTTGATTTCTGAATAGTACTCCATTTATAAATACACTGCAGTTGACTTGTTCATTCATCACTGATGGACACGTGGGTTTTTCTTGGCCATTATAAACAAAGCTGCTATTAACATTTATATGTGACTTTTTGTGTTCTTATTTTTCTTCGTTAAATATCTAGGAGTAGTGTAATTAGGTACATATAATTACTCCATAAGAAATTGCCATGCTGTTGTCCAAAGTGGCTTACCTTAATATATTCTGATAGGACTGTTTTAAAGAGACTGCATCCAAATGTCCCTGTTGTGAACTCCTGCATCAAATCTGCCACATTAAAATGTCTTTCTCATCACAGAACAGGCTCTCTCTCAGGTTGCCTCAGGAGACAGGGATGGGCTGGAATGCATCTGTATCTGCAGCTAGCCATCTGCCCCTGAAGAACTGGCATGCCTCAGGATGCTACAGCAGTTTCAAGGAACCAGCAGCAGCTCCAGAGCCCACCCGCCGTCCTGTGCAGACCCCCCTATGGCTCAATATCTCTGTCTTCTGTTCTTCCCCTGCTCAGTTTCTGCTGCATGGTTCTGCATAGTTCCTGTGGCACAGTGTAAAGTAACACTAGCCCACCCAGCCTGGGCCCTGTTCTGAATGCTATATGTGAATCCATTAATTAAGGCTTCACAAACCCTACTATTTATTAGGACATATAGCCTCATTTTGCAGATGAAGAAAATGAGAAGTTCAATGAGGCAGCTCACTTTCCCAAGATTACATAATCATGAAGCAGTGAGAGCTAGACTGGAACTCTGGTCTACCTACCGCATTGCAAAGGCCAGCAACAAAACATGTTGATCAGAGATTGGATGCTGGAGCTAGAGCACTTGGGTTCAACTCCATGTTCTAATTCATCTAATTTTCATGGCAATCCTCTAGAAAAGGACCATCATAACATCCACTTGACAAATGAGGAGACAGTGCAGAGGCTTTATACAGCAGGGGAGGGGCAGAGCTGGAACTGGCACCCAGGAAGTTGGCTCCAGAGAAAGAGCAACCACCTCTATGTTTTCCTGCCTCTCAACAATCCTCATAATTAACGTTATTCGGCTCACTGCCCTACCTCTTTGTATCTTTGGGATTTCACTCTGCTCTGACGTTTGCATTCTTCCTTGTGTTTCACTGCCAAACTCTGAATGGATTGTGCACACACTATCCAGGGTAGAATAACCTTGCTGGGCAGCTCTGCTGGGCATGCTCTCATCTGGGCATATCATTGTTCTCCTGCCAGCCCTTGAGAGCTGCCTCTTGCTCAGGCAAGGTTCCTAATCCAGCAGGTGATGTCAGCGAGTAAGGTCATCTGCAGTGCAGGGTGACCCATGCCTAAGAAACCTCCTCCAACTACTTTTCTTAGGAGGACGTGGAGTAGTCAGAAGACACGTTAAAATCTTGAGGTCATCTCAAAAGATCATTTGTTTCCCCGAACAAATTTTGAACGCTTTCAGGTGAGAGACTAAGTTAGGTACTCAGTAGATTTTGGTTGAATGATGAATGAATGAATGAATGAATAAATAGACCCAGATTCTCTTAATGTAGCTCTGTGCTGTTCAATATGGTAGCATGTGGCTATTTTAAAACTTAATTAAACAGGACTTTAAATTCAGTTCCTCATTGACATCAGCCACACTCCAGGTGCACAATAACCACATGTGCCAATGGCTATCATACTGGAAAGCACAGCTATAGCACATTTCCATCATTATAAAGTTATATTGGGCAGCACTGGGCTAGATGATGGACAGGCAAAAGAAGAAAAAAATGCTCCATTTATTGCAGGCAAATGGCTTTAATTTCCCTTCAACACTTTTAAAACAGTCAAGATCCATCCTCTCTCTTTAGATCATGTTGCATACTGCCCATTCAGAGGTCTAGAAATCACTTCTTTAGAAATCTATTCTTGAAAAGAGAAACATTTTAATCACATCTATGACCCAAACTTCTGCAAAAAAAGATGGGAGGTTAAAAAGGGAAGTAAAGCATTCCTTTTGTCATGGGCCACATGAGACTAACCCATCCAGAAGCTCTGAAGGACACCAGAGGGTGGTGAAGGTAAATGGATGAAAGTCATACACTTGTGAAATGGTGGAGGCTAGGTCCCACTCAGAACATCAGTAGACTGAATCTCAAATGTCTTCCAAGAGCAAAGGAAGACAAAAATATGGATAAAATGTGGGCCAAGAGAAATTTATAGCCTACTGAAAGGAAAATAAGAGACAAACACATAATAACCATATAACTGTACATATACACATATATGTATATACTTATATCACACACAATAACATAATAACTAATATATTAGAGCTTAACAAATACTTATCCTCATAAGAAGACCCAGCAAATCTCTGTGATAAATATCAAATGAATGGAACATTGATATAAAAAGCAAGCACTCTAGGAATTCAGGGCAGGATGAGATCACTGTGGGATGGGGTGTAGTGGAAAGATTTAGTTTAGGCACAAGACTAGCAGGAATGCCAGGCAGTCATACAAACCTGAATACAACTCCTTGGCCTCCCTACTAAAAACCTGGCAGACTCTCCATGGCCTACAGTTTTTTGTTTTGTTTTGTTTTTAGCAAAGACATGTGCAGGTATTTATTGTTCCACATCCATAAATAGTAATAGTATTTTGGAACTCTATAGAGTTGACATATAGAACAGTGATTTCCAGCTTTTGTATGTGACGCATAGTAAGAAATACATTTTACAGCATGATCCACTTCATACATACAGATATGTATATACAATTGAAAGAAGTTTCACAAAATGGTATTTACCCATACCCCATATTTCTGTTGCATTTTATTTCATTTAAAAAATGCTGGTTGATTTCATGACTCAGCTGTGGGTTCTGACCCACATTTTGAAAAAGGCCATTCTAAAAGGAATGCTCCAAACTTGACATTTATCATCTCATTCCTTCCCTATGTGAGGTAGGGGCAGAAAGAAATAAATATACAAGCATAAAATACTGTTTATCCCACCTTGACTTGCTGTGATGATGGGTAGGGTGGAGGAAAGAAGAAAAAGGTATCAGGAAATATGGATTCTAAGTCCGAGCTTTATTGCTTACAAACCAGGTTATCATAATATGGAAACACACATTTTAGAGTTGATGGAAGCTCTAGAAACCAAGTCATACAGCCCTTTCAATGTTTAAACCTATATTAAGAATATACTTTAAAGTATGAGCTAGTTGTGTAGTATTGAGAGAGAGTTTAATAGGGGGTTATAAGTGAGAACTAGAACCAGATGAGTGTAACACACACCTAGCACAAGATAAGTACCATTCTATACAAATCTTAGCTCTTACTAGTACTGGTATAAAATAGAGTTTTCTCCTCTTTCACCTTTGCCATGTGTAATGGGGAACTAATAACTGATGAATAAAACAAATTTAGGTTATTTTGCTCCTTTCCTGGACTCTTTCCTGTTAGAGAGAAAAGGAAATTATTCTTTATTTTCTCAATTTAGAAGTTGTCTGTTCCTTCAGTAGCGTAGCAGCTAGTTTCTTAAGAAAACTGTTTTGAGTTCTGCCTCTGCCTCTTCCTGGTTGGGAACCCTTGGTCAAGTTAGTTAAATACTGAAAGCTGTTTCTTACCTTAAAATGAGGTGGAAGTGGATGGGGGAGAGTGGGGTGATCAATGTCTGTTCTTTCACACTGTTTAAAGGTGAGCAGTAATGTCTTTGAATTGCTTAGAGCAGTGTCTGGCCCTTAATTGCTTCCTGAATGGGAGCTATTATATGTTCTAGGAAGCTTGAAACCAAAGCCCATTCATGGAGCCAGTTAGAAGGTCTGTTTCCAGAATGTTTCCAGTGAAGAGTATACAGGGGAGGAAGTCGGGAGTAGTTAAATTACCTAGCAGGCCTGCAGATGTTTATGGAGTGTTCCTTATTGAGCAGGGCAGCAGTAGAAGGGCTGGGTGGGACACCATGAGCAATGAAAAGTGCTTGCTGGCAAGAAAAGGGTATTAATGATGAGGAGCTCTGAGGGTCACAGATGCTGTCATCTCTGAGTGGGAAGTGAGCTGCTGGGACTTCTTTATGACGAGGGGTCTGCAGTGTGGCAGGGGGCCCCACCCAGTGAGAGAAGACCCCTTCTGGTGTACCCTTCACACCCCAGCCCACCTCTATAGAAACTCATTTTTCTGACAAGCTATAAAAGTATACCTCTGGGATGGGAGGCTTGAGAGGTGATCACAGGAGTTCACACATGGGGAAAAGAGAAGTCAAGGAAAAAAGCTGTAGGAAACTTGCGCCAAGGCAAGTATTTTTCTGCCCAACTTTTTAGTTCTTTAACTTGTTATTTTCCCTTCAAATGTGTGTTCTTTAAAGAAATCATGGCCTACAGTTTTTAATGACATAACTGTAAATTCATTTTACTTCCTAGAATTTAAAATGCTGACAAAGAGTACTTAGCCCTCTGTGTTTTCTCTCTGGTCCTCCACCCAGATGATCAACATCAAAGAAACAAAAAAACTCCCAGGCACTTCATAGTGATTCTAGAATCATAGATCAACTTGGATACACTAGATGTAAAAAGATTTGAGTTGTCTTTATCAACCCTGTGATGAGCATCCAATGGTAGAGCTCAAACATCTTGCTTAACATTTGGTGTTATATAAAGTCAGCTCTGCCCATAATTCCTGCAGGGTAGAACACATAAAAGTCCAGCCCTGTCTTCTGCTTACATAATCATAGCCACTTCCCTGGTGGTAATGGGTTAGAAATGTCTTTGAAAAGCTATGTGCACTTTGCCTCTGCTTCTTTTAATTTTTCTGAAGCTTCCACCTTTCTTCCTTAGCATTCAGATTCCTTTGGTTCCAAGCCACAGAAACTCACTGTGGCTAACAAACAGAAAAGGTGAGTATTGTAAAGATACTGGCCAGCTCACAGAATCAAAAGAAGGCTAGAGAACCAGGCTCAAGGAACATAGGAACTAAGGCAACTCCAGGGGATTTGATAGCAAAAATCAAGTATTGACCTTGCCCCCTGCTGAGATGAATGAGTGACAACTGGTTTGCCTATCCCTCCCATTCACATTCATCATTCCAGCCCCAGCAGACAGAGTCTGGTTAGCCCAGTTTAGGTAGGGTCTAGGAGAAGAAAGGACACTTAACGACAGCTCATTAGGACACCATACAGGTAATTCCCCCAGAGAATACCAATGACTATTGTCAGAGGAGTAGAAAGTGGATGCTGGATGGTCAAATCCCAGAAATTATCCACTACACTCCAGTTTCTCTTCTTAACCCCCATTTCCTACTTTTTCTAATTATCCATAATAGGAATGACCAACATATCTTCCCAGGTTGTAGGAAAGATATAAAAACAAATCCATCTGTACTGGAATTTTCCCAAAAGGGATTAGTTTGGGAAATTATTTATTGTTAATGTAATTATTAATTGACCTGGGGAAGATTGGCCTCACCCCTCAGCATTGAGTAAGAGGATTAAAGAAGATAATGTATACAAAATGCCTATAACAGTGCCTGGCATGTAGCAAGTTTCATTAACTGTCATTGCCATTCCAGCCCTTCTCCAGTGGTGGGCTGGAGCCAGCTCATACCACCTCACAAGAGCTGATTGTTAACGTTTTGTGAACCAATGGAAATAACATTGGTAGCTTGAAGGGAACATTTGACCTTGTTGAGAATACTTATACCCTGCAAATTGGAAATTTGCAAATCAGGTCTCAGTCCCCCCACCCTGCCAGGCAGTTATGAAACATTTGCCAGCACACCAGTGCATCCATTCCTTTCTTCGCTTCACAGGACATGAGCAGAGCCTTGAAAGGATAGTGTGTCAGTTAGGCTTAGATTCAGCTGTGAGTGACCAAAAAAAAAAAAACTCAAAAGAAGAGTTTCTTAGCAGATATAAGTTCATTCTCTAGGTCACGATAGGCAGTTTAGGGCTTGCCTAGTAGGTCTTCTTTGTTGCTGCCTGTCCTCAAAACATGGCTTTTACTTCATGATCTGAGATGTCTGCTCAAGCTCCACATTTCAGCCAGTAGGGAAGAGAGGGGCAAAGAGACACACTCCCATTTCTATCAAGGCCATTAACAGAAACAACACACAACATTTCTGACTATATGAAATAGGGTGAATGAAGCCACTTAAGCATATCTAGTTGCAAGGGAGCCTTGGACATGTGTTATTTATTCCAGGCAGCCATGTGCCCAGCTAGAAACTGAGAAGAAGGAGAGGGTGGGTGGTGGGAGTATCTGGCAGGCCCTCTCACTAATGGACAGGACTTAGGAAAGTGGGGCTGGTGTGATGGAGTGTGTTTTGTGGAACTCTGGAGATGATGACTGGAATAGAAAATAAGAAATACTGAAAAATGAGGTTAAATAAATAAGGTGGAAGCCAAATCTCAGTGAGGGTCCAGGAAAGTGGACAAAAGAATCTTTATCTAATGCCATTAGAAATGGGAAGCGCTAAACTTTGGGGTAGGAGAGCAGTACATCAGAGACATTTAAGAAATTTTAATTTGGCATGTATATGCTAGACGTCTTAGGGGAGAGAGGAAAAACAGGAAGGCGGCAGGGAGATAGGAGAGGAGACTGATTTCACAATCCAGGTGTGAGGTGATCATGTGGGGACAATGGGAATGAGGAGGCAGAAATCAGTCCGAGAGGCATTCTCTAGGAAAAGTGTTTGCTCTAAAGGCTGGTGTGATAGACAGCTCCAGGCTGCAGTGGCCCAGAGACATGATTCACAGCGACAGGGCAAAGAGCACAAACCTGATTTGGTGTGTTTTACGTCAGGGTCACTTAGGAGCAGGGCTGGGAGTAGGACCTGGGTTCAGGGGATAGACTGGCAAGGAGAAGGAGAGAAAAAGCAAAGGAATGACAAAGAGGAGGAAGCTAAGCAGGGATGTGGGCTGAGGGGCAGTCCCAGCCCACAGTGAGGCTCTCAGTACAAGTTGTACCGGCATTGCTCCAAGTTGACACAAGGAAGCTGGTGGCTCCACATCAGGCAGTCACTGACCAAGGTCTGTCCAAAGGGTGTGTAAGGGGGCTGGCTTGGTTCCTATTTGGTCCAGGGCAGGTATCCAGAAAAGGTGACAGCTGTGTATGGTTACCAGGTGCCATGCCTGGCTGCTGGGAGATGAGTGGGCCAGCTTGTAGGATGGATCTGAGTGAGGCCCAGAACGCATCCATTCAGTGGGTCCACTGGGTGTGATGAATTTGAGGTGGCAAAGAGATCAAGCACTGGCACATGACTAGTGGGAAATTGGAGATACAAGGTAGGCGTTCAAGCAGAAGAACAGGGCTTTCATAGATACTGGAGTGAGAGACCCCGGCACATAGGTGATCATTGCCACAAGAAGAAATGAGCTCTTTGAGGGCCATAGGGAGTGGGGAGCAAACCTTTGGGAAGTAAGTCAGTTACACCCTCCTGGGAAGGTGGACGGGAGAAAAGGAGCCAATGAAGAAAGTAAAACAGAGACCAGTAGAGCATGTTAGTGTGGTAGCTGAACTCATGTTACAACTGCAAGTCCAGGGAAGAGGTGGAGGAGGATGAGCTGGGAGAGAATGTCGAGGTGTGTGTTTGTTTGGAATTTGTTGTTGGCCTTTGAGGGAGCAATTCCATGGCTGGACGGGGTTAGAAACCACAAGGTGAGGGCCACTAAAACTTTCCACACGTACTGCCATTCCTTCTGACTCTTAGCTCCTCTAGGGCACTTTCAGTTTCAATTTGCATGTCGCTCCTAAAGCTACTCTAGTTCTGGTCATCTAGTGCTGCCTGACAGATCACCCCAAGACAGTAGCATGACCCTCTCTGTTTGTTATGTGAGCAGGTGATGTGGGCCAGGAATCCGGACGGAGCACAGTACAGGTGGCTCGTCTCTGCTCCATGATGCCTGAGTTTGCAGCTGGAAGACTCCAAAGCCGGGGATTGAAATGGTCAGCAGGATTTTTTGCTTACAAGACTGGCAGTGGATGCTGGCTATTGGCTGGGGGCTTAGTTCCTCTCTCCATGGTCTAGGGTGGGCTTTTCTTGCATGGTGGCTGGCTTACTGAGAGAAAGAACCAGGCCCGAGTGGTATTTTTATGACCCCACCTTTTTATGACCTACATTGCTTTCCCCCAACCCCACTAGTCAGAGCAGTCATAGTCCCACCGAGATTCAAGGGGAGGGAACATGTCCCCACCCTGGAGGCTGACATGTCACCCTGGACAAGAAGAGCATGGGGAGAGGAAGGGCATCCATCTTTGGAAAATGTAATCTTCCATACTCTGTCAGAACTCTCCATTTGCTTCTTAGGAGTGGTCCCTTTATGCAGCAATTGTCAATAATAACAGCAATGGGAGAACTTCCTGAGGGCAGAGATCAGGCCTGTTACTTTTTATCTTTATAACCTCAGCATTTGATCAGTAATAGGCTCATAACAGATACCTGTGGAAGGAAGAGCTGCTTTTGAAGTCTATCAGCTATTTTTCATATACACTGCATCATTTGATCTGAATCAGCCATCGAGACCATTTCACAGTTGAAGAAACAGAGGCTTACAGGAGTAAGTGGGCTACCCCCAATGACTTAGCTAGCAAGAGCTCGGCTGTGACATGAGCCCAGGTCTTCTGGGTTGATGTTACCTGTATTAATAACTTGATGTCTCCAAAGGGCAAATGGAATTCCTAGGGTCCGGGACTTGGCGCCCTAGGGTTTTGGCACCCCTGCCTCCTCTAGCCTCAGAGCAGCACAGGGCCAATCGCAGGCTATGGACATAGCTCCCTCAGGGCTGTTCATACTGGTCCTGCATCTGATACACCCATTTGTCATGATGTCTTAATATGATTTTGCATCTCTTTTCCTGTGGGCTCAATGAAGGGCTTGGACACAGACTCTGACACTGCTTTCAGCTTCCAGGATGGGTAGAGGGCCAGGATGAAGTTGCTCCTCAAATCTCTGTGCTGGCAGTGAGCAGGCAGCACCCACAACAGGAGTATGAAGCAGATAAGAAGCGCCAGGGAGCATTCATGTGGAGCAATCAGATGATGATCTGAGGTAACTGCATAGGAAGAGGGGAAAACCTAGAACAGAAGTGGCTGAGGCAGTTCCAGGAGGGCCAGCTCAGACGGGAGAGGGGATCCAATTTCCACCGCCTCCTCAATTCACTTCCCAGCCCTAAAAATGCTCTCAGCCTCAGAGGGAAATCCTGGGAAAGTAGCCCGTGAGGGTGCAGGGGTGTTTATCAAGATTGTGAGTGGGTGGGAGCAGATCTTAGAACTTGCATCAGGCCTCCATTTTCCAAATCCGGCTTGTGCCCTGCCACCCCCTCCCCCCAAACCAACTGACTTTATCTCTTTAGAGATGTCCCTGGGTTAGCAGTTTCTTTCTCAGATATTGCAGATCAGGAAGGACTTTTGGAAACCACAGTTTCCACTTCCGCTGTGGGGGCAGAAAGCATGGGCAGCCTAACCCCCTGGTGCTTGGGAAGTAACAAGAAGGACCAAATGCAGCTGCTTCATGTGGGACTCCTGCCCATACCAGGTCTCCACTCTCCTGTACCAGCCCTCCGGGGACCTCTTAGGCCATCTCTTCCCTCTGGTTTCTCCCCAGCCTGCTCCCCTCTGCTAGCATGTTCTCTGGCTCTGACGTTCTCTTCTGAACGCAGCTTGCTGTGACTTCCCACATCATCCCGACTTCTGGGCCTCACCTTTGTAGACCTTGGTGGACTGGCTTTGACTGTATCATTTGTGAGTCAGCTTTGCTGCTTTGTTCCGGCCCCACCAATGTGATTATGCTCTCCTCCACGTAGGAATTACTCATTGCTTATGTCACCAATCCCAGTGGAATGTGCCCCCTCCTCCGTGACACCCATTCACCACACATCCTTTATTACTTTGTTTAAACTAACGATGCTGTTTTCCCCCCTTCTGATGATTAAAATGATATGTGTTTGTTATGGAAAATCTGTAAACTACAAAAGGTATACGAAAGAAAATTAACAGTACCTGTAATTCCAGCCCAAATAAAAGGAACATTTCATGCTGGTGGGTTTCCTTCTAGTATTCTCGGCTGTGCTTCAGCCTGCCTCAGGCCTCCATGCATGCCAATTATTCCTTCTACCTCCAAATGTCTCCCTCTGCCTTTTCCCTCCCCACCCCCGCCCGCTTTCTCTCTTCCCTCCCTCATTCTGCCAGTAAATCAATTCATCCTTAATATCGTAAAGGTCATTCTTTCAAAAAACCTTCATCTACCCCCTGGTTAGGTCTTCCTGTCAGACACTCACAGTCCCCAGTACTTTTCCTTGTAGCAAAACTGGAAATAAACGGTTGGTTTTGTACTCAAGTGTTTAACATCTGTCTCAGCAACTTGACATAAGTCCATGATTGGCTTTCTTGTTTTTTCTTTGACCCAGTCATTCACCACAGTGCCCTGTGTACAGAAAACACACAGCACTTCACACTAAAACACCTTCCTAGAAGAGCCATGTGTCTGTCCTCTCCATACTTTAAAAAAGTCAATTTAATAAAAACAGTGAACTAATTGCCATATATCTGACCTAGTTCCATGTACAGGGTGCCAGCTCTTGTTCTCAAGGAGCCCTACGTCTTTTAAGGGTGACAATGAGTAAGCGGAGCATTCTGATATATCCTTAAATATAAGGTGACCAATAGTTAAGTAAAGCGTGGAGGAAGGGTCCCTAAGCTAGCCTTGGGGAGGTGACACTATTGTTTTAATGTGTCCTTGTCAATGTATTTACTTTAGAGAATAATAATAGGATGACTGAATTGGATGGAATTGTGAGATCACCAGCCCCACCTCTCTCTGTAAGTGATGGGACTTGGCCAAAACCATCTGGTAATTTACTGGTGGCAAATCTGGGATTAGAACCTCAATCTGAGCTTCAGCCCTGTGCTCTTTCCTGTTACTTTGGGGGCCTTTGGAGTTCTCCCAGTCTTCCTCCCATTCTATTAATCACCAAGTCCTGTTGATTTTACCTTATAAAGGTCTCTCGGCCTGTCCACTTCTCCTCACTTCCTCCATCATCTCCAGCCCGGACACCTATGCTCACCTCCTACCATATCTCTCTGCTTCTGGTCTTGCCCCGCTCAGATCCCTTCTTTACTTTGCAGCCAGAGTGAGCCTTCACAGACAGAGGTGTGAGCGTGTCTATCCCCAGCTTAAAACCCACTGAGCTTTTAGGAATATGTTCAAAATTCTTAATATGTTGTAGTAGTCTGCTCAGGCTGCCGTAACAAGATACCACAGATTGGATGGCTTAAACAACAGAAATGTATTTCTCACAACTCTGGAGACTCTAAGTCCAAGGTCAAGGTGCCGGTAAGGTAGGCTTAATGCTGAGTCCTCTTTACTTGAGTTGTGGTGCTTGCTATCCTCCCTGGTGCTCATAGGGCCTCTTCTTGGTGTGCACTTGGAGAGAAAGCTCTTATATCTCCTCCTTCTTTTATAAAGACACCAATCCTATCAGATTAGGGCTCCATTCTTAGGACTGCATTTAACATTAATGACCTTCTGAAGACCGTATCTCCAAATCTAGTCACATTGAAATTTAGTCTTCAGCATATGAATTTTGGTGGGGGCACAATTCAGTTCATAGTATGTGGTCCACCAGACTCTTCTCAATCCAGCCCACCTTACCAGATTCTTCTAAGCCCCACTCTCCTTTCGGCCTCTAGGCTTCTGCATCTGGAGTTTCTCTTAATTCCTTGAACTTGTTCAGCTCTCTCACAGCTCTGATCTCCCCATCAGCCTGCCTTCTTCCTCTGCCTGCCTTACTCCTATTTAGTCTTTGTAAGGAAAAAGTCTATCTAGCCTTAGAGCAAGCATATATAGTTTTGCCCTCTTTTGCCCTGAATTCACCAAGACATCATAGAACCTGTCTTCAATCTCTTTGAGAACACCTGCTCTTTTGAGACCCGAAGATGACTAGCTACAAAGTAGAGGGTACAACCCCCTCTGTGAGCTAGAGATGGGCACTCAACTCCTGCCTTACTGGTGGGCTTCCTCCTTTGGGACCTATATCTAGTGCTTTCAATTTCTGCTTAGGGAGACCCATTGAATTCATTTCTTTTGGGACATGGCTCTCCCTTGCCCATTAAGCAATAAACTCAGCTCCTGCCCCACCAGTTCTGGTGTTTCTGTATTTTAGTTAGTCACTTTCAAGTCTTATTTTAAGTGTCAGTTTCTAAGGAAAGCTTTCCCTGATCCTCCATCCTGTGTTTAGTCCTCTGGCTCTACATCCTAAGGCAGCCTGTATGCCCCCTTTTGTAAAACTCACCACCTCATTCCCATATGTTTCATGTCTGTCCTTCTGAGCTCTGTAATGTAGGATGCATCTCTGGCTGGTTGCAGTACCCCCGGAGCTAGTACAGTGTCGGGCTCCTGGAAAGCTGTCAGTAAATATTAGCTTTTATTAGTAGATGCTCCATAAATACCTATTGGCCTGAGTTATCCTCAAATAGTTTCCCAGATAGTATAAGCATTTTGTTGTCTAAATTGGACTGAAATTTCTCAGAAGGATCCTGTCTATTCCTTAAAGAAACTCTCCCACACTATGCCCTCCTGGGCTTCTTTATCCAAGAAACATTTCATGAATGATTATTAATTGATTTACCCACAATAACTTTCCCAATAAGCATTATATTTGATGAAACAATAAAATTTTAAATATATTATGTAGCAGAACAATTTATTATGAATTTATTCTAACAACAATCTATTGAAAATTAAAGAAGAATGAAGGTATTTTTCTCCTCTTCCTCCTCTGCATAAGCCAGGACTTTATTCCTTGAAACTGTGGGTTCCCTGACCCTAGAAGAGTTTTGCTTTTTTGTGTGTTTTTCAAGGAAAGGGACGAATCAGGCTGAGTGGGGCTCTAAAGTAAACCTACCCCTAAGTAGGTCTTGGTTTTGGAAGGTGCTGGATGTTTGGTCTGAGATGGGAGGGTATGGAGGTGGTAGCTCAGCCCTTGGTTGACTTTTGAACCTCTGGGGACCCAGAGGGAAGAGAGGGTTGTTTCTCCAGGGCCTGAGGAGATCTGGGCCTCTTTGAAAGTAGCCTCTCATCTCAGACTGTCTGCCAGGCTCCTGAGGACTGGGCTGAGGTGCCCTGCACAGGGCATTTTCAGAGCCTCAGCAAATGCTCCCAGAAAATCAAGACTATCTAGAAGCACTGAAAATGTTCGGTGCGTCCCCAGTTTAATTGCAAATTAAAGAACTGTTTGAAACCAAAACCAGCTTTGAGGATGTGCTGTACCTTTCTGACTTTTCCTAGGAGCACAGCTACATCGATGTTCTCCCCCTCTCTCCCCGTTTTCTTCTTTTCCTCTCACTTCTCAAATAGCAAATTATTCCACAAGTTTCCCCCCCGCCCTGCCTTCTGGCTTTGTGGATGGCATGCTGGCATAATTAGGAGCTGCCCAGGTTAGCTGAGTGGCCTGACTTCTAATGGCCTCCATAGGCCTGGTAAGGAGCAAGGCAGTGCTGACCATTGGCCAGAGGAGCAGACTCTCCTGTTCCCCAGGACTGAATGAGCCTAGGTGTCCTTCATAGCCCAGGACAGTCTGAAAACTGTCAGTCAGTGATGGTCAGGGCTGAAGCCAGCTTTGATGTGAGTGAGTCCATAAAAAAACAGGGCATTACCTGAGTCCCAAGAGCTCTACGTCACTTCATTCAGGCCTGTTACATGCCTACGGACACTCGCGCTTACATAAATGCTTCTAGATAGAAAATGAACTAGTAACGATTATGGCTTCTGGGAAGTAGGACTGAATCTACCTTTTTTCCCACCCCCACCCCCCGCACTATTTGAGTTTTTTAAAACCATTGAACAGATGTTATTTTTATAGTAAAAACATACTGTAGAAGTTAAAATGACAGCAATAAAACTCATCGTATTTTAATTTTTATATTTTCCAATTTCAAACTACAGCACAGCTGGAGCATTAGCTTTCCAGGAGGGGTGAGCTTATAACCAGGCTTGGGCTGTGAGAGGGGCCAGTGATGCCTTCCAGCTGTGGCGTGTCCAGTGCTGCTGGAGGCTAAATATATACAAGGCTGTGCTATGTACCAGGATGAATTAAGGCTGGTGCAAGAGCATTCTTTCCCTCTGTCAATGGGCACCTGCCTCATACCTAGGTTTCAGGCACTCAGGATGTAGGAGTAACAGCAGAATGAGTTCCTTGGCTCCTTTGGAATGAGTCTAAAGGGGGAGATGTGTGAGTGGCCCAGCAGGAGAATGGAAGGGAGAGGGAGAAGCACAGAGTGCCTGGGAGGAATCCCATGGTCAGGTATGGGGTCAGGGTGGAGGAAGGTGGTGTGCTTCCAGGGTAACTAGTTCTTTAGTGCCTCCTCTCAGGGCCTCCTCTATGTTGTTGAGGGGCTAGATTTCTTTTTAACATAAAAAGATTTTCAAATTTAAAATTTTGTTTAGAAAATTAACATGCAATAAAATGGACCTTTCTTTTTAGTGTGCAGGTCTATGAATTTTATCTTGTAAAAATTCATCTAATTACTACCCTGATCAAGATATAGAACAGTTTTATTGCCCCCCAAAACTCCCTCATGCTGTCCCTTTGTAGTCACATCCTCCCTTCTCCCCCACAAACCCCTTGCTATTGTGTTTTTTCTCTGTCACTATACTATTGTCTTTTAGAAAATATCACATAAATAAAATATACCATACAACCTTTTAAGAGCAGTTAATGCTTTTGAGATTCATCCAAGTTGTTGCATGTATCAATAATTTGTTTCTGGATAGTATTCCATGCTAGTATCAGGTTATGTGTTTACCCATTTTTCTTTTCATACATTATTGTTTAATATGCTCTTGGTCTGAAACAAGGCTTTTAGAATCATGTTTTGTTAATCAGCTTCATTAAATAGAATCTTTGAGTATCTAAAAAGCTCAGAAGAAGTGTTCACATATTTTAAATACCTCAATAAAGAGAAATCCAAATGACTAAAAAGAGACTCTGGGGGCTTTCTGCACAAGGCTGGCATCTGGGTGCTGCTCCAAGGCAAGTGGAGGAGGAGCTGGTCCTGTCCCAGAGGTCGAGGACAAGAAGTACTTTTCCCACAAAGTATCTCCATTCTAGTGCCACCACCCCAGGTAACCTGACGGCTTGAGAACTTATCTTTTATACAGTTTTTTAAAGGTATTATTGATATACACTCTTATGAAGGTTTCACATGAAAAAACAATGTGGTTATTACATTCACTCATATTATCATATTATCAAGCCCCCCAGACCCCATTGCAGTCACTGCCCATCAGTATAGTAAGATACCACAGAGTCACTATTTGCCTTCTCTATGCTACACTGTCTTCCCCATGATCCCCCCTGCCACACCATGTGTGCCAATCACAATACCCCTCAATCCCCTTCTCCCTCCCTCCCCACCGGCTCTCCCCCACCCCTCCTCTTTGGTAATCATTAGTCCCTTCTTGGAGTCTGTGAGTTTGCTGCTGTTTTGTTCCTTCAGTTATGCTTCATTGTTATACTCCACAAATGAGGGAAATCATTTGGTACTTGTCCTTCTCCGCCTGGCTTATTTCACTGAGCATAATACCCTCTAGCTCCATCCATGTTGTTGCAAATGGTAGGATTTGTTTCTTTCTTATGGCTGAATAGTATTCCATTGTGTATATGTACCACATCTTCTTTATCCATTCATCTACTGATGGACACTTAGGTTGCTTCCATTTCTTGGCCATTGTAAACAGTGCTGCGATAAACATAGGGGTGCATGTGTCATTTTGAATCTGAGAACTTGTATTCTTTGGGTAAATTCCTAGGAGTGGAATTCCTGGGTCAAATGGTATTTCTATT